TAGTTTCACTTTTAGGGACAGTAGTATTCCCGACAGCAATCAATAATCTGCTTTGTCCATCTTTGTGCAAAATTCTGTTGTATTTAGGTGGAACCACCGATCTACGTTGTTGGCGATATACACGGGCAATTCGAAGACCTCATGGCATTGTTCACTCTCAATGGCTTTCCACCATCCAGGCAGTATCTTTTCCTCGGTGATTATGTTGATCGTGGACCGTATTCTCTTGAATGTATCGTACTTCTGTTTGCTTACAAAGTTAGTTTCCCTTGTAAAAACAACAGTATTCGCGCTGAATTTTCCAACTAACACTGTAAGCAGAATGTCTTTTCTTTGAGAAACGCATGCTGGGTTTCCACTTTTTGGAAGTTTTTGTGATACATACATGAGTCCATGCATACATACGTATCGTATTTATTTTTCATCTTTCTACTATCACAGTCTGTTTTAAATAATTCCATATTTCATAGTATGTATAAAAATTATCATTATTGTCATTATTATTGATATTATTATTACCATTATTACAACCATTATTATTTTTGTTATTATTATTGCTTTCATCTCCACATATAAATAAAAGTATATTTCTACAAGAAAAAGTGCTGTGCTGACAATAGTCACTTATTTTTTCAGTAAATTTTAGGCTCTGTATGCTGCTAGTCATTCGATTTATGATTAAAGAGTAATGTCCATGCAAATGTCCTTCAGACGCAATAATTCAACAACTTTATTTACATGAATAATGATAACTGCTATGCATGTGTATGTGCGTGAATGTATGTGTTTATGCTTGTTTGTGCTTTAGTGCACGTATGGATGCATGTGTGTGCCTGTGGACATACATGCTTCTATGTATTTTTGTCTGTGTGTATGTGTGCCTGCGTGTATGTGTCTGTGTGCATGTGTGCTTGCTTGCACGTGTGTGTTCGGGTGTCTTTTAGCTTGTATATGGGTTGATATATCTATGTGTGCATGTATAAGATAATAACAACATAAAGATGTAATCAATATTGTGGCACTAAATAGATCTATTATATCAAGTAGTTAAAAAGCAATGTAATTATTATATTACAAACTGGCAAAATAAGATAAAAAAAAATGGAAAACCCGATTTTTAAAACCAGGTGAGCTAGGAATTAACCAAAACTAAGCATTTTTAAAACAGAATAATATAGAACGAGTGCATTTTTACACAAAAACACATATCATATAATTTAAGGTTTTGTATCCAGATATAGTAACTCTTTTGCGTGGCAACCATGAATCACGGCCAGTTAACAAGCAATATGGCTTTTATACGGAATGTACTAAACGGTTAGGATTTTTTTTAAAGATTTCCCAGGAATTCTAAATTTACGTGTTTAGGGAAACTAACACAAAAATGAGGAGTGGGAGAGGAAAGAGCATGAGGGGGTGAAAGAAAAAGGATTTTGTTTCGGAAGTGTTGGATAAACCATATTCAGATAGTTACATTTATTACCAGGATTACCACGATCGTCTGAGTTATCAGTGTGGGTATCCCATTTTAGTGATATTTTTAAAACGCCTTTATATGTCGGGCGTAGCCATATCAGGTCCTACCCCTAGAGCTGCATCATAGGATCAAAATTTCAAATTTTTTCTCTGAAAACTTGTCATTGTACAGATATTCGGTGGTTCTCTATGAGTGCTTCCAATTTGCATTTTATTGCATGCCATTTTGTGCTCGTATTGCGAAAAGAATATTATGTATGCATGGCGGTATTAGTGAAGGATTAACGGATTTGTCGCAGGTAGTTCATATCATCCTCTTCTCCTTCTTCTCCATTTTCATCCACACAGTAGAATTCAAATTTTCGTACTCTATATTTATTGATTTTTCGAATTTTCCTTCCTTAAGCTTTTATAAAAAATTTCAAAAATAAAGCACATTTTTAACACCATACTCCATCAAAACAATCATCTGTAGCTCAAGTGCTTTTACTCTTTAGTAAAAAAAGCAACAATCTGCTAGCAGTACTGGTACCTCCTCTTCCGTGGATCGATTAGAAAAATTTTGGCCTCTAGCAGGGTTGGGACAGGTTGGCACCAGTTTCAGGTCGGAATATTTAAGTGTGCCAGTCGGGTAATGCCAATTTGCCACTGGAACTTTCAAAGACTTCCAAAATTTTCACAACTTTCTCAGGCACGTTTCGCAAACATTCCAGGAGTTTCTAATTCACCCGAAAAAATTTGTTTGTGTGTAACCGTGAGGATTAAAAATACCAATTTGTAGATGGAAAAAATCGAACGTCCATGTGATATACCAGACATGGGTGTACTTGCCGATTTAACGTGGGCCGATCCGGATCCATCGGTGCGCAGCTACGAAGAAAGTCCACGAGGAGCGGCCAGTGTTTTTGGGCCAGACGCGCTGAAATCATTTTGCGAT